ATAATTAAATATGTAGTAAATAGTTCCAAACAGTTAATCGTTTGGTAATACTAAATATTAATAAAGATAAAAATAATGTTTCGTTATATTTACCAAACAGTTGAAAATATTTCACTTTATATTTGGAGTTAGGTTTTTCCGCTCTTTTTATTTGCAGCGCAGTAGTGGAACATCGCTGGCGAAGCTTCGCCCAAGAAAAGGATACGGGGTTTTAGCGAAGAGCGTTGAACGCTGGCTTCGTTGTCGGCGGAGTGGGGGATCTTCGCCAGCAAAGCTTCGCTGCATGAAATTGTACCTTAAAACATTATTTAAGACGGTTTTAAAATAAAAACGAACTATGAATAGCCCCATGTTTCGCGTTTCACAGTTGTAGCCCTTATAAACAAGGGGTACATTCCAAAACTGTTATTGGAGGAAACGGTAGGTAAATGAGCGAAAATACCTGAATGCACACGAGGATATGAGAGTAATTCGTTTTTTGGAACGCTTTACGATAGAATTGAGAGGATAAAAGGGAAACGTTCGAAAAGCAGAAACTGGTTATTGTATATAACTGATAATGACGCGACGAAATATTTCACTCGGTTTTGTACTATCGCTTCTTCGTAACACGTCTGTTATTGTAGAAGAGAGTGACGATGATGATGAAGAAATGATGACATTGTTACTCGTTGAAAAAATGTCTCATCTACGTGGATCTTTATTCGCTCCGCCTAGGTTGGAAGGCTTTTTTGAAGAAGTTGTACCCAGATACACATTCCGACAATTTAAGTCACATTTTAGAATTACTCCTGCAACCGCTAATGATCTCGAAAATAGATTAGCCCCATTATTAGCTAGAGATGGAACAGAAGGAAGATTACCTGTCATCCCTCGTATACAAATCTTAATATGTCTGTGGATATTAGCAAATCCGGAATCATACAGGTAATAAATGAAGTTCTTTAATGCACAAGCCTATTTTGTGTGTGTGTGTGTATTAGAGTCAAAGTGTACACTCTTTTCTTTTTTAATCAATGTATATATTCATGTAAAATTTGTTATAGTAAATATATACATTGACTATAGCAAACAGTAGTTGTATACATTTGCTAAGTTAACGCTTTGACTGTGGCATATATATATGTATAATATTTATTATGTTGGATGAATACTAATATATATATTATGCTGCATAGATCAATGGAAGTACAATTTGGAATAGGTAAAGCCTCATTGCATCGTTATTTTCTACGTGTAATTCATGCTCTACGTGATATTTCCTCTGAAGTAATTTGTTGGCCAGAAGGCAATAATATAAATAGGATAAAAAATGAGTTCAATGCAAAGGCTAACATGCCTGATGTTATTGGTGCGATTGATGGCTGTCACATAGAAATAGAAGCTCCAAAGGTATACAAAAGTTGTATTATTAAAAAAATTAACATTATAAAGTTTTTGATTAAGTAGCATAAGTATTTATGTTTAGTTTGATGCTGCTTCATATCGCACTAGTAAGAAAAAATATGCTGTCCAACTTCAAGCAATTTGCGACGCATCCTTAGTTTTTACAGACTGTTTTGCTGGCTATCCAGGAGCAGTCCATGACGTTCGTGTGCTCCATAATTCTCCATTATATAGAGACGCAATGAGAAATGAACGTGCTTTGTTTCCTAATGGAGAGTATCTTGTTGGAGATAAAGGCTATCAGCCAGTAAGAACATGGCTTATAACACCTTATAGAGATACTGGTGCTTTGACTCAAGTATGCTAATATCTTTTTATTATTTAATGTAAGCGATTATATTTTATCCTTTCCTCGTCCGGATATACTTATTAACAGTTTTTCTATTTATAGGCTCACAAAGATTTCAACAATATTCTATCAAGAACTAGACAAGTAATAGAGCGTGCGTTTGCTCTTCTGAAAGGACGTTTTAGAAGATTGAAACATTTGCACATGGATCTTATTGATGAAATCCCTTGTACAATTTTAGCTTGCTGTGTACTACATAATTTATGCCTACAAGGATTTCATGATAATGAAGAAGATCTTCAAGAATATATTAGAGATGGAGAAGAAATTGACAACGATCTTTATGCACAGGAACAAAATTTATATGAAGAACTCGTAATTCATAATGATAATAACGTTACAGCTGGCCAAAGAAAGCGTAATTATTTAAAGGATAGATTAACTTAATTCGAAGCACTTTATAAACACATCCAAGTTAGTTTATTTGAATAATATTAAATGTAACAAATTAAATAAAATTAGTTTTAAAAAAAATATTTAAGAATCAGTCTTTTATTTATAAAAAAAAGTACATTTCCTGTCTTCGTATACATATAATATACCATCTTTTTTATAGTAACCAAACCTTTAGTAGTAGTCAAACAACATCTTAATTCTAAATGTTATTTATAAAATTAATAAAAAATAAAAGTATAATTAACAAAAGTATAATCTTTAGCAAAATAAAATTCAGAAAAAAATAAACTATATAACCTATATAACAACAATGTTGCATATCATGTAAATGCATATACATATATAAAGAGTACATAATTTTAAAAAAGGAAGTTAAGTGTGACTATTTTACATTTGGTATTATTTACTTTACGTTTAAAAATATATTATTTAAGATAATTTGTCCATTTTATTATAAATTAAAATCTGATTCACTTTAACCTTGTGCTTATAACCTTGTTTCATTCTCATAACGTATAATGTCACGTGTTCAACCTATCTACTTTTTCCACCAATCATCACAATTTACTCGTAGTTCCCGCACACAAACGCAGGTGAGAATTTTACTCGATGGAGGAAATACGAAGACTTTCTTACCAGTTTTGGAACAGCTCCGAATGATGAACGAGGAACCAATCGGAAACGCTCGCAATGTTTTAGAACGCCAATGAGCAAAATTTTTCTCGAAGAGGAAGTTTTGGAATGTACCCCTAAACGGAGAGGGCAGAGCATATATGTAATACTACTATATGGCTAATGGGGCGTGGTTTGCGGTCGAAACACTACGGTGCCGCCAATGCTAATTCTGTCCTTATCATGTTCAGTCTGTTGTAACGCGCAGGCGTCAATGTCGCGCGATAAGTGTCACATGTGATATATTGCAGGTTATTACAGTCAGTTATAAGTATTGTCAGGTCAGCCTTTCAATTAAAAAATGGTAAGGTATTGTTATTTAGGTAAAGGTGCAATAAAGGTCGATCCTCTTAAAAATCGATGAAATTATGCTTATTCGACGCGTTTTTCCATAAAACGAAAGAATCTGGTAGAAAAAAGTGCCGCTCTGCCCCGTGAACCGAGATATTAAGTTAAAGTTCACGACTGTTCAGGTTAGGATATCTGTCATACCGACTACGTGTAGTGCTACGAGTATGCTCTTTGACTTCATGCGCATGCGCTTAGTTTCGTTTCAGTCAGAGTGCACGAAATTTGAAATCAATGCTATTAAATAAATTAAACGTATGTAGTAGTGTTTAGACAGTGTCCGCTTGGAATATTTGTAACCCATGTAGACAGTGGAGTGTGTAGACAGTAATGCTTGGG